ATTTATTTACACTGTACTGTTATAACATGGCATTTATTCATTTATAACGTTTCGACCATTTTAAATATTTGGAAATAATATTTAAGAAAGTGCACAAAGTGAATGTTGTTTGGTGATGACGTTTCCTTTATGCCATTATTTCTATTTTATCTAATTTAATATACTGCGACACTTTACGCTTTCGCGGCAAGACCATCAAGATCTTTGATGCATTGCAATAGAGTCGCCTTTTCCTGTTCAGGAGTGATAGATTTTAGTACAGCATTCACAATCCATTGCACCATATGTTTCTGTGCGAGTCGACGCTCGAGAGTTTGTATTTGTACTTGATAGTCAAGACGCTTCTTTACCTATTAACAGTAAACAAATAAATAAATTTCTCAATTATATAAATTTTATAGAAATCTGATGAACAAAGAATTATGAAATATATTAAACGATATTAAAAGATTATATCATTATCAAATATTTTCTAAGTAAAATTATTATAATAAAAGAAATATATACAAGAAATTCAAAAATTAGAGAAAGAAATTTGTTTTATTGAATTTATTTGATCTATTTTTTTTATTTTCATTTTTATGATAATACGATTTATTAATGCATGTATCAAAATTAAGAACAATATTAACATACTGCATCAGTATGTAATATTGCAACATTTAACACATAATTAATTACAAATAAATTTGTTACTCCTTAATATATTTTATTATGCTCTTTTATATCATATTACGAAAACTGTCATACCTCTTCATAGATCTGCATCATACGTTCTCTGTAAGTTCCTTCCAGCTGCATCTTGATATTCTCCTTTTTAATATCCATTATCATTCTCTGTCCATCCAAGTTTGATTGCTCTTTTTTTTCATGTGCAATTGACTCCTCATAAAAAGCTATTTCATTAGTTCTAGTATCTTCAAGTTCTTTATCAAGTTTATCCACTTCTTTATCTAATGCCTGTGCAACTTTCGAGCCAAATAATTTTACACTTGCTACACATATTACGAGTAGTGATAACCCATTATAAAATTCATGTTCTAGAACATAAATTTCTTTGGAAAGTAAGTAAGTGCTCACAGTTATGGCAAATACATAAGGGCCTGAAAATAAAATATATACAATAGTTACTAACAATCATAAAAGAATACTATCACTTTATATTATATAACAAAACTAAAAATAAATTGTGTCAACATTTTATATATAATTTTTAATTTATATTGATTATTTCTGTTCAAAAGAAATCTTTTATCATTATTTCAATAATTTAAAAAACAATTAAAAAATTATATGATATACATATGTGTGAATATATATAACATTTTAAATAAGTTTTTTTGAAAATAATCTAAAACCAGATAATCGAAAATATTATGTTCCTGCTTCTTTAAATCTTTTTTTCAAATCATTAAGTGTATCATACATATATGATAGAGTGATTTATGATATAACAAGAAGTTTTTGAAGAGAAATATCTTTTCAAAAACAAGTCAAAAAGTATAATAAATTTTTCTTACTGAATCTATTTAAAAAAAATATTTATAAAAACAAAAATATAATATTTCTTGTTTTCTGTAAGTTTAAATTATTTTCAAAAAATTTATGCAAAATGTGATGTTCACACATATGTACATACCTATTTTTTTTTAAATATTATTTAAACAATGACAGATTTTTTTTTAACAAAAATTAATAAAAAGGAATTAACATAAACTAAAAATTATGTAAAATATCAATAATTTATTTTTAGTTTTTAAATTGAATCTTGATTTTCTATATAAATAAATATCGTTGAAGAAAATTTTATAATCAAAAAGGTCAAATAAATTAACTCAATTTTAATAAAAAAATTATTAATTTCTAATTTTACAAAATCTTATCAAATACAGAATTTTATATTTTGTCTTTTTTCAATCAAATTTATATATTTACAATCATCTGTCTTTTAGCTACAAGAATTTTATATAAAAATCAATGCGCATATTATTTTGAATAAGATTTGATTATTATTATTAACATTTTTTACTTGCCTGATGCACCAGTTTTTGGATAAAATGCCTGAAACCATTCTTCAGGTATAAATCCATGTCTAACTGGAGATGGATTAATCAAGCGTTTGGGACGCTCTACAGCTACTGACGAAGCACTTTGAGTTCCACGCACAGCCACAGACATCAACTGAGCTATATTAGAAAACAACTTTATTACACTTTGTTACAAACTAACTTTGTTACAATAAGAATTAAGAGATATATTTTAACTGAACTATATTTTTCCATCATACATATGTAAAATGAAATCTTTTCTATACACATATAATATACACATATATAAAAAAGAAGGAAAATCAAAGGATACAATTATTAGGATACAATTATATGATTTATACAAGATATGAAATGTTAAAAAAGCAGATTCCTTGATATTTTTATAAAATATGGAATAGGTATCATTATAATAATCAAAATAATTCACAACAAAATTTAAGATTTTAATAATAAAATAATAATAGAAAAAATTATGACCTTAAACATCATATAATTAAATATATAAGATACAAATAAAGTTTGTGTCATACGCAAGTGGAATATACTAAAATAAATTGTGAAAAGGTAACTGAGTGTCATTACATAATAGAAAAAAGTAAACTTTGCAATTAAAAAAAGTTGCCTGTCAATCAAGTATATTTGTCATAATAATTTGTACAAAATGCAATAGCGAATATCACAATTGACATTACCATTGCGAAAAGCCAATCTTGACAGCATTTTGTATCAAATGTCTATCACTTGCAGCCAATATTAACCACAGCGAACACCATGCCCGAAAGAACAGTAATGGCAAATTCAGATTGAACGACCACAGATTTCTATGTTACTAGATTAATTCCCTAAATTTTACTTAATGCCTTGCATACAATGGAGAAAATATTAGAAGCAATAAATATTAAATTTTGAAAATAAAAATTCGGAATAAAGATGAAACATAACACACAATAAATAAATAATAAATAAAAAAAATAATAAAAAACAAATAAAATGTAATTATATCTAATATTTATTTGTGTTTTACGTTTAATCTTTCCGTTTAATCTTTTCATTTAAGAATTGATCAATCACAGATTGAATATAATAAGAATACTCGACTTAATTGGTCAATTCTTATTTATTTTTTGACTTATAAGCTGGTATTCATAAATGTCAGTCCACAATAGGTGATTTAAGCTTTAAGAAGTAAGAAATTGACCAATTATAATCGAATATGAAAAGCATAATCGACTATGATTGGTCAATTTCTTACGGTTTAAAGATTAAATACTTATTGTGGACTGACACTAAAGACTTAAGAAATTGGCCAACTATAATTGATTATTCTTCTATAAATCGATTATGATTGGCCAATTCTTAAGATTACGTCTTAAAGTCTCATTGTAAACGCCGCTTTAGCCTCGATTCGCAATAGATATTTAATTTTTAAGTCATAAGAAATTGACTAATCATAATCGATTATTTTTCTCATATTCGATTATAATGGGTCAATTTCTTAGTTCTTAAAGCTTAAATCATCTATTGTGGACTGACACTTAGATCGTCTTAAGTAAGCTCATACAGCTATCCTATTGATTAAAATGATGTATGATCTCTATCATAAACACAATCCCCACTTAATGTTTCCCCCACCTTCTTCTATTAGAGAGAAAGAAAAAATCAGGTGTTGTTTCTTCTCACTCGCACATATCGCCCATTGCCTAGTATATAGTATGCTCGGTTTATCTATACTATGTCTATGATAGCAATCATAGTTTCCATTTTATTCCCAATAAAACGAAAGATTCTGATTGGTAACTTTTTAACTTTTTATGCGTTATGCAGAAGTGTGCTCCGGCCCTAAGAATTGAAGCATATACTACGTTTACATGACGACGTTAAACCG